GTGTGCGCTTCTACGTAGGTTCTTTGCCCGGCTTGTCGTATGCTCCAATACAACCATTTAATCTAGCACAGTTAATTTACTAAAATTTAAGGCATGTAATAATTTACTGAGCTCGAAATAACTATGGTGACTATTATTCGAAGAATACGTCGCAGTAACAGAAGTATTCGGACCCTTGTTGTGTGTTCGTTTTTTGTTTTGGTTTGCGTGTCTGGTAAAGAGGCGTCTTAGAAGTGGAGGTCGGTATTCGTAGTTTCTAATGTCGCCCTTCTGCATAACTAGGAAAGGTCTCTTTTTTTTTTGGGGGTGCCAAGCTTTTTCAGAACGGTATTTTGCATTGTATAGGGCCACATGTAGGAACCTCAGAACTATGCTTAATTTTCCCTGAACGGTCCTTAAAATACCAGAAAAGGGGGTCCCCGGACCGATTCCTTGCGGTGACAAATTCTTGCATTTTGAATTGACGCTTCAATAATGTTCGTGAAAGATTGGAGCCAGTCATAGAGCAATGAATGGCCATACTCATAAAGCGATCCATTTTCTGCGCGAAATTACGAAGAGAAACTCGGAATGCAAGATTTTTTATGAACCTTGAGGAATCGTCCTGGGACTGCCCTGTAAGTGGTATTAAGCAGAGCGTTCAGGAAAATTAAACTCTATGGTCAAGTTCCTACATGCGCCCCCATGCAATGCAAATTACCGCCTTTTGAAAAAAAGCTTGGCTCGCCTTGACAAAACCTTCCCTTGGTAAGACAACAAAATAAAGTCAACCAAGCTTCATCGGGTGATCGGTCCGCTAAAGCCACAGTACAGTCAAGATACCGCCTTCAATTAATTGTTTGACTAGTTCGCAACGAACATGAGAACACCGACTCATCACTAAATTGAGTTTTGCCAAGAAAATCTGACTTGATCTTTTCTTAACTTCTTTTTCTACATTAGCGTTTTCTCTGGAGCACTAGCAAAAACCTATTTGTTTTATTCCCTTGAAGACGGTGCCATTTAATGAGTCGAGAACATGAGTGTCGTCTGTTTAATCACCACGGCAATCACGGATGACATTATCAACAAAGGCAAACAGATGAACTCTACGCATGTGTGTGGCCAAAGAATAAGTGTAGACTCTTGTAGACATTATAGACGTGAAAATAGCGATGTCGACATTCGGATTAGGATTCTTACGCTTACATATGCAGATAATAATACGCATGAGGATTTGTTACGAAGACGTCAAGCGCATGACCCAATTATTTGCGAATAACCACTGAATACCACAAAGCACCTGTTCGGGAGTGTTTTTAGCATTGCATTTTGTGTGGGTCAGCACGGAGTCAGCGTACTGCAAAATGAATTACGTGCACGGTTCGAGATCCCGAATCCTGGATCCACTCTCCCTCCGTAACAGCCAAGCCTTTGCCTCGTAGAGGTCTTTTTCGCGGCGTTTGTTTAGGACAATAAAAAAAATTTAATGCACAACGGCTGACCTTAATAGGCCTTTGTCTAGACTAATTCATCCACATGCCACTACGATTCGAAACGAAAGTAGGATGCAGGCGCAATCTTTGAATGGCATTGACTATTGCGGATCAATGCTTTGCCCCTCTGAAGCATGCGCTAGGGTTTGTTTCTGTATTGAAACACAATAGCGGCCTAGATCCCCTCTTTACGACGTCCAATGTTCACTTCCCAATGCAACCAGTTCTAATGAACAGACCGCTCGACTACTGACAGTTCGGTGGCGTTCAGTGCTCTCGATTGGGAAAAGCTCAACCCGGAGGATCACCTCACGGAAGCAGCCGTTACTTCATTCCCATCATACCTCCCGAACGAGGGAATCACGAGCGAGTGTGAGATCTGAAAGACCGTAGAAAGAGTGTATAGACCGAAATGGTGCAATTGCCATGCCTGTTCATTACATGCGGCCGACGGTTTCTTTTTTTCATGGTCATAATAGTTGACGTGAACCTACAAAGTTATGGATCCAATATAATGAACAAATCGGCTCCAAAGCTAAGCAGGAATGTGACCCATTAAGTCCGGCACTATTGCACTATTATACAACCCCAGTAGGGGTGAGATGGGTCAAAAAATAATTTTCGCTGAAATTTCGGCTATGGGGGTTATCGAGGGCCCTGATCACGAATATGATATTCATTTTTGGCGCCAGCATACACATCATACTAAAATTCGCTGTAAACTTCTGTATAGGGGTTATTTGGGGTCCTGATTACGAATATGACATTCGTTTTTGTTGTTAGCGCTATTCGGCGCCTATTTCCTGCTCGTCTGCGCCCTCGCACTAATTAGATCGCAATCAGGACTAAGCCTTTGAATAGTGGAGGGCTCCAAAGTGAGTAGGGCACTCCCCTGTGGTCTGACACACTCCAACTTTTGCCACACGGTGCGTGGTTTACCCACTCCGGAGTTTCACTCCCCTCCCCTAAGCTTAGTCCTAGGCGCCATAGGTGAGAAAGCTTAGAAAAGCAGAAAATATGCGTTAAACAGCACGAATGTTAAAAACCAGTGTCATATTCGTGATCAGGGCCCCAAATAACCCCTATTCAGAAGTTTACAGCGAATTTGGTGATAATCAGTTGTGGCGCCAGCTGGCGCCAAATGGCGCCAATTTGGCGCCAGCGCCAAAAATGGATGTCATATTCGTGATCAGGACCCTCGATAACCCCCATAGCAAAGTTTCAGCGAAAATTATTTTTTGACCCATCTCACCCCCACTGGGGTTGTAATAGTGCAATAGTGCCGAATTCATTTGAGGGCACTATGAAAAAAGGGAAAAACTAATTACTCCGTTCTACCTCTTTGACCCCTCTTGCTAGTTCTACTAATATTTTCTTTCCTGTGAACTAGCATGCCGTAACTGCAGACTGAGCAGCACACACAGTGTTGAATAAAATAGCATCAGTTAACATACACGAGACTGTGTCGATAAAGTCGCCATGTACAGTAGTGACAACCGCGAGTCTGCAGTTGCGGCATGCCCAGCCGTGGGAAACAAAACAAGAAATGGAATTACACGTACCAAACGATACCAATATGCCACATAGAAGAATTATCTCATGCAAATCAGAAAAGCAACCTGCACTCCGAACTTCGGCCGGTGGGCGACTACCAGGGTCAGCGCGACTTATCCCACAGAATCGAAGAACACGAGCGCCAAAACGTCATACTATTGCGCGGAAACCGTTGAGCTACTAGCCTTACCAACTCCGAAACACAAAGCCAGAGCGGTAATAAAAAAACCAGTGGCAGCAAAATCACTTGGAAAGTAGTTCGTTTCGTGTCTACCATAGGAAAGTCGTTGCTATTTTGTCAAACTCCTAGGCTAATAAGTTAGCTGATATTGAAGGAATACTCGCGCAGGGGAAAGCCGAAAAATAATAGAAGTTGACTACTGTGATTAATAGAACAACCTTCATCCATATTTAAATTAGCTTAAAGGATTTCTAGGCAGCTCAAAGTCGTAGAAATCCTGTAAACCAACCACGATATAAAAACTAGTCCTCTATGAATTAGTGGACCACGGCCAATAATACGCCAAAATGCCCAGATCGGCTACAAACGCTTAGTATAGCATCATACTCCTTGGATAGCTGAATAACCATTATTAGTTTCCACATCTTACCTTCTTACCGGAATTTCAGGTAAATTCACCTAGCTAATCTCGTACCCTTGACCGAATTAACTTTGTAAACATTGGTCTTAAGGGATGAGCACTGTCTTCAAGCCTCGTTGTGTACTTTGTAGTTGGCGTGAAGCTGGAAACCTGCTCTCACAATACCAAAAGCTTATTCAGGTATTCAACTGCAGCTCTCGAACATACAATTACGAGGAGAGTTATGTAAACCCTATGTTGTAGAAGGGAAGAGGGGGTCGTCGAGTACTGCTAGGGCTAAAAATATCTTTCTTCAAAATGCTGAATAAAATACAAAATATCCCTCGTTAAAAACATCGGAGAAAATACCGTTATGGAGAGAAATGAATGGCTTACTTGCTGTCAAATTTCCAAGCGACGCAGCAGGGAGTGTTGAAGGGAAAGGCTGTGACTAACAAAGGAACGTTTCAACTTGGCTTCATTAGTATTCGCGGTCAATTTCAACTACTGGCTATCAGCACAAAGGCACCACCTGGTCAGAAATAAAGCAGCTCTAGTACGCAAAAAGAGAATTGAATGAGCTCAATGTAAGCTCCACGCATCAGTCATTATCAAGCATGGTAGAAGCCTTTGGATACCATTTTGCTTTTGTAATGACAGAGAGTCCCAATCGCTGTACAGTTCAGTGCCTTTCTTGTCTTTATTTACCTAAGACGATAGCCGACACCTAGGTGATGGAAGGCTTGGAGGGCCTGAAGGAAATTCTAGCCGTAATTGGACCGCTAGACCTTCGCTTTGTGTGCAACATCACTAAAGTGCCTGCCTTTGCTCTCACAAGAATGATTTTCTTCCTTCGATTCTGTAAGTGCTCATGGAACGATTTTTCAGAGGATCCAATCTGTAAGAGAAAAAGATACAATTACGGACATATTGAAGTACTTTTTCCAGCGCTCTTCTTGAACGGCAATCGGGGGAGCTCGCAGTTGATCAATACGTCTTCGTTTAGTGAAGGCTGCCATAGTAAGAATCTGCTCCGTCAAGGATATCTTCATAGGGGACGGTACGAAATAGATTCACAGCAAGCAGTTCCAAGCACAGAACATGACATAACTTTAAATACTGATATAATCACTGTTGGATTATAGGTAAACGATGAAACTGACGACAAAAATCACGACGGTGCACACATAACGGCTGTCCGCATGGGTTAAGCAAATGAACAAACTGCCAGTCTTTCAAACAATTTAGCTAGTTACTTCAGTACTGCTTAGCCTTTGTATTTTTCGGATATACCTACTGCAAAGGTCGTTTACCTAGTACCTGTTCCGGAAAGGCGGAGCGTGCCTACACCACAATCCAAGTGTTCCGCGTGGAATGTTTGTGTACCGTTATGACGGCTATAAATACTTCAAGTCGACTGACACTTGAACTCGCCCCTTCCTCGTTAACATCTCCAATGAAGATGCTCCTACTGTAAGTCCCTTATAAATATTACACTCAAATCCAAACAAAACCCTCCTCAATGCAAAAACCTTCAGATTGGTCTCGCTATTCGTATCTTTGGCTACCTCTCAATACACCAATGGACAGTACGGTTAGTTTATCTTTACGAAAACCTAGGGATCAATCTATAAATTATCCTCCTTTAA